TGTTGGCTGTTGTTGGCTTTGTACTTGCTTTTTTGATGTTGTAGAATGAGAGGGGAACCAGGATGTGTTACACAGTTTAACATACACACCAGTGCGTCAGAGAGAGCAAAAAGTCAGTGTCACCACGGGCCATGGAGCAGTACTGGCTAGATATTGCCTGTGTGCTGGGGAAGGAGCAACAAAGGAAAATGCATGAAATCTATGCAAAGTTTGGATGAGGCGTCCATCTGATAGAGAGCTAGCTGACAAGTTTCTTGTATTTCAATGTATTTGAAAATTCTGCCATTGTTTTAGCATCTACTTTTTCCTTGTGAATTTTTTTGCAGATTTTGCATTCTGTTCTGTGGATCTGTCTTTATATTTTGGTTTTTACTACCAAATGGCTTTGATTACTGAAGTTTTTTTTTTTTTTTTTTTTAAATCATTCTAACATCTGTTGTACAAGTTTCCCTCATTATTCTTATTCAAAACTTTTCTGGCATTTCTTGTATATTTAATTGTACAGAGGAGCCTAAGGCTTGTCTTGTGAATTCTTTCTTCTTTCTCCTTCCCCCAAAAATTCTTGTGAATTTTATTGTGATGATGTTAGCTTTGTAGAATCATTTAAGGGAATTTAGCATCCTACTATTGAGAAGAAATGGTATGATTTTCACTCATTCAAACATATATAATTTCCCAGTAAAGTTTTATGGTCTTTTTCATATGCATCTGGCAGATTCCTTGTTAATTTATTTCCAGCCACTTATGGTTGGGGGAAAAAAAAGTAAGGTACTTTTTCTGTTATGTTTTTTCAGTGACTACTTTTTGGTACATAGGAAGGATATTAAAGTTTTCCTTATTTATTCTGGAATGACTCTCCTTACTAAATTACCTTTTTTTTTTTTTTATCATGTCATGGAAAGTTCCTCCTCTTTTTTGTTTATTAAGCTCCTTTCTCTTTCTCTTCCTAATCAGAAAAGGATGTTATATGTTGCCAGAAGACTTTCTAGCAGCTATTGAAATGCTATTTTTCCTTTTGATCTAGTATTATGATGTATTGTACAAATGATGAATGATATAAATGTTTTTAATATTTAGTCATCCTATTCTGTGGTCATGGTGTATTTTTTTTTAATGTACTTCTGGACTTCATTTATGTACAAAGCTATCTGAATTCTAAATGTCTATTCCCTCTTGGTAGCATTTCCAATCTCAGTGAGTTTCTGAACTGCTGTCCCTCTGCAGGGCCTCTCCTTCCTCCTCCTCTCCTGCTCAGCTGAAGGTGCTCAACTGGTTTCAGGAGATGGACCTCAGCTGTCACTGCACGTCTCCAGCCAGCTGGGTGTTTGCCAGGGACAGGACGCCAAGGGCACAAGATATTGCTGGAGAGATGCACAAAGGGAAAATTGCAGAATTCTCTCAGGGACAACACCAGATGGCCACTGGTTGTCAAGGAGACTTTGAGAACCATCTCAGTTGGGGCGGGTGAGACCCTGGGCATGAGAGATGGTCTGTAAACCGCTCTGATGCTTGCTTTGCTGAGGGGGTGTGCACGTGCTGGCCCAGAAAATCCTTTTCTGCAGAGTTCACTCTCCCCTTTACAGAATTTGAAAACAGTGTCTACAGAATAAAAACATTGTTTTAGGAAAGCAGGTGGAAGCATCACTCCATTAGGAGCCCCCCTCTGGAGAACCCTCATGTCTATTTGGCTGAGTCCTGGACTGACTTGAGAGAAACAGAACATTTTGGAAGTTGCTGCCATCCGGGTCAGGTGGACCTCGGTGTATAAATAAACCTCAGCCTAGCCGATCCTGAATATGCATTATTTATGCAAAATGACTTTTGGGTATTAATGTCCAGTTATCAGCTGGTTCACTCACACCCCCTGAGATGTGTGCTGTTTGTCTGGGAAAGCATTGCTGCTCACTGGATCCACCTTTGCCCTTGAGGTACAGAGGAAGGTACCCTTCCAGCAGGAGGGGCCATGCAGTCAACCTGGTTGTCCTGGGGAACAAATGATTGGTGACATATGAGGCAGAGCTCTTTAAAGTAGGGAATGTTATAAACACAAAGCCTTATTCATGGGCACTGGCCTACGTGCACTATAGCTCAGGGATCGCAGACTTTCTCTGTAAGGGCCAGCTAGGGTCGTTGGTCAGATGTGTCAAAAGAAGCAGTATTCAGTGATGCTGTACCCACCCACACTTCCCTGCTTTGTAAAAGTCATTCTTAGCCCATGGACTGTACAAAAACTGGTGAGGAGCTTGGCTTGGTCCCAAGTTGCAGTTTTCCAATCCCTATTTTAGATGATCTAGAAGATATGTTTTTCCCTGACTCCAAGTGGCCACTTAAGCCATGGTGCAATAAATCTCTTCCTACATGGACTCTGCTGGGCTGCATTTCCACTCTCAGCTCTCTGAGGAAGACGGGGGCCCACTTGCCGGAGAGAATGCTTTCCCCTGCTCTGAGCATCCTGGAAGTTTCTCCTTTCAATAGGACTTATTGCTTCCTTTGGAATAGTACCTCAGAAAACAACATCAATGCACGAAAATGGATGCAGTTGTTTTAATTTTTTCTTTGGTGTTAGAGTTCTGGAAGTCAGTATAATCCTTTTTTTTTTTTTTTTTTTTTTTTACTAGATATATAGTCAAATATTCCATTTCCTTTTTTGAAATAGAGCATCTAATTCTTTTTTGGAAATACAACATTGCTTAAAATATCTTCACGTTCATCTCGTCTTATTTATAGGTTAAATTCCCCAAATTCGAATATTTCAAGTTACTTCCAGGGATGATAATTTGAATGGTAAGTTGTTCTGGTCCAAGTAGTAAACTCTGATTTCTGGCAAGTTCTTAGCCTGGCCTTCCCTAATCTGGGGCTGCTGCATGCACACCTGTCTCGTTGCAGCAGCAGAAGCATGCAGTGCATTTTGTAGGCAACAGAACCAGCTGCGGGCTAGAGAGGGTGGATAATGATGCTTGGTATTAGCCTCAAAGCAACCTGACCTACATTTAGAAGAAATGCCAGGCTGGCTGCTAGATTGGATTGGCTGCACTGTAATACATCCCAGTCCGGGTTGTTTTTCACCTAAGCAATCTACCACTCAGGGATGATGTGAGGATCAGTCAAGCAACCAATTTACATGCCTGGTATAGGAGCTTACATGTAAGAGATGTTTAATAAACATAAATCCTTTCCCTTTAAGGATCTCACCCTGTTCAAGAGGCCCTTGCTACAAGTCTGCCTTACACAGGATCCAGACCCTAGTGTAGATTGCAGAGGTGTTCCATTCATTATTAAACACCAAGATAAACGAAGCTAAACTTTAAGCAAAGCCATAACCATTGTCTGTGTAGGTTAGTGTTTTGCATAGATATCTGACATTTTTTTGCTTAAGATACTTAAGTCTAATGTAATGTAATGTACTAAGGTGCAAGAATGAGGTCTCATAACATATGTAATCGATTTTTCTGCCTGACCTCATTGAGGATGTTCCCCAGAATTTAGATAATTTAATGCTTCCCCCATCAGGATTTGCCTTCAAACAGTTCGTTGCAGCTTCTTTGGCTCTTGAAAGGATGATTTGATATTAGCAATAAAAATGTCTTGGATGGTTGAACTTTGCACATTGTCATATACTTTGTAGTTATCTAAAATGCTAAGCTAGCAAGTAGCCCAATAAAATCCTTTGGAAATGAAGCACATCTCAAACCCCTTTTTTGAAATAGAGCATTGCTTAAAACATTTCCCGCTCCCCTCTGTGAGGTGGTATCATGTAGCAGTGAAGCAAATAGACGTGGGGCTGGATTGTGGGGTCCAAATCCCGGATTCAACACTTCCTAACTGGGGGACTCAGACAATTCACTTACCTTTGTTGTGCCTCCATTTCCTGATCTGTTCATTGTAGATGATAATAGACGTCATAGATAATAGACATACATCAGAGAGTTGTTTGTAGATAAAGCCAATTAATTTAAGCAGATCGCTTAGAACAGTGTCTGGTTTATAATAAGTGTTAGCTATTTTATAGTTTTGGTTTAATTTGTAACAGAGAAATCCTTGGCATTATCTATTTTGGAATAAGACACAAAATAAACATTGTAATCATTATGGAAGTAATTCATACTCATTTCGCCATGCTGGAAAGCAAATGGAAAAGAGAATAAAGAGCACCCAAGACGTGATGCCCAAGGTGACCGCCATTTGTGGTTGATCTATTTCTCTTTGTGAACTGAGATTTGCATAACGAAACCATATTGTAAGCACAAGTTTGAGCCTAATTATTTTCACTTAACATATATGATAAGCATCTCCCTGTAGTAAAACAATTATTCATAGCTTTAATGGCTGCATAATGTAATCCTATTGATTAACCGTAATGTGTGACATATTTTCTTAGTGATGAACATTAAGTTTCTTTCTTTCTCTTTGAGTAGGAGGTGGGGGCAGCTGTTACCTATGGTGCTGGTGGCCAATAGTCACACGTATATATTCATTTACATATATTTTTTTTCTTAGTATTTCCTTATTCTTAGGTTAAGTTCCCAGAAGTAAAGTCATTGGGTCAAAGGGATGAACATTCTTAAGGCTCTTGATAAACACTAACAAGCTGTTTTCTTCCCAGGCTGTTTACACTTAGACATGGATGAGGGCCACCATGCTAGTTCCAAGGGTGTTGACATCTTGGACCCCTTTGTATCTAACATCATGAGAAAATGAACACAAAAAGAGAATCATTGAAATATCTTGAAATAAAATAATTTTAAAGTTTGTTGAGCATTTTTTTGTGATTTAAAAAAACAAAACACTAAAAGCTAGACACACTTTTGACCCAGCATGAATTGAAGACCACTTTCATTTCCTGCTGAGGTATTTTGGCTCTTGTATCAGTCTGGGTTCTTCTCTCCTGTCTGGACTTAAGCTATTGCAGTAATAGCTTAATACCACTATTGCCATACTTGGCAGTTTAGCGATGAGGCATGCGCGATGCTAAGTCTTGGCCTTCTCTCTTCCCTTGCCAGCTACACGGTGGGCACTGTCCAGGAGAACAATGACCAGGTCTGGAAGTTCCAGAGGTACTTCCTGGTGCAGGAGTACTGCAGCCGCCTCAATATCCCCTTCCCCTTCGTCGTCTTCGCTTACTTCTACATGGTGGTGAAGAAGTGCTTCAAGTGTTGCTGTAAGGAGAAAAACATGGAGTCTTCTGTCTGCTGTGAGTGGTCTATCCATGTGGGCTTGGGATCAGAAGCAGCGATTAATTTCAGGGAAAGATGCCTGGTGTGTATCTCAACAGGAAGGAGTTATTCACAAGTTCTTTCACTGTTCACATCTGTACATCTGTAAAGATCAGGCATCAGGCCAACCAATGAATTGCCCTAGAGGAAGCATAGATGAAGAAAGCACTGGGGAACTGCCGGGATAGCCTACTTTGCAGGGAATGAATGACTTTGGGACAGATCATGTAATAATGTAAATAGTATGTTGAACGGGCAGAAATCATGGGATAGAGTCCAGTCATGACTTTGTTTTTGCTTTTATTGTTCCCATGAAATTTATTCTCTAGGAACCTTTAAACCTGACTCCAGCAGGGTTTGTGATTCTTCTTAGGAAAATGGAAAAATCTTACAATTGTTTTACTTGAGAAAACATTGTTTACTTGAGAAAACATTATAGGCGGTGGCTCATGCCTATAATCCCAGAACTTTGGGAGGTCGAGGCGGGCGTTCTTAATGAAGAAAGTGTTTTGACAATTTGGATAAGTTGCTGTCTTTCTTTCCATCGTTTTGCCTTGAAAGACAAAGTGATTCCATTCTAACTAAAAGCACAAAAAGTCTTTATATCAGGGAGAGGATTTGGAAGTTCAGATCTGGAATTTGACTATACTCAAAAATGGCACCCAGATACTAGAAACACTTAATGACACACCTCAGGACCCTTGTTGGTTCTGTCTTGAAGCCACGTCATGGCTGGTGGCTATAGGACCTGGGAGAAGACTTAGGGGGCCATTCTGTGCCTTCATGTAACGGAAGCCCTACAAGCGTCATACTTTTTTCTGAATGATTCAGGGGAAAAAACAAACAATGGATAAAAGTTGCAGTGAGGAAGATTTTGATTCAGTACAAAGAACAATGTCTAGCAGTGTGGGCTATCTGGAAATGAGATTAATTGTTCTGTGGAGGTAGTGAACTGCCCATCAGTAGTGGGATTCAGGTTGAGGATGTGTGGGAGGAAGGGACTGCATGGGATAAAGGTCCATTCTCCAAAGATACATTGTACTCAGTCCAGGATCAGGAGAATCGGGAAATTCAGTACTCCAGATTAGGGATGAGGTTGAAAAGGCAGGACAAAATTCATTACATTCCCCTAAAACGTATTTAATGATTAAGCACAATATGACTATGAAATGGACATTATTTCCTGAGCACATTCTGTCTGAGCAGCATCTGTGGTCAATGTGGATGATTTATTGATTTATTGATTTATTGATTTATTTATTTTTGAGACAGAGTCTCACTGTGTTGTCCAGGCTGGAGTACAGTGGCATGATCTCGGCTCACTGCAACCTCCGCCTCCTGGGTTCAAGCTATTCTCCTGCCTCAGCCTCCTAAGTAGCTGGGACTACAGGCGCCCGCCACCAAGCCTGGCTAATTTTTGTATTTTTAGTAGAGAAAGGGTTTCACTATTTTGGCCTGGCTGGTCTTGAACTCCTGACCTCGTGATCTGCCCGCATGGGCCTCCCAAAGTGCTGGGATTACAGGCGTGAGCCACCGCGCCCCGGCCCTGTGTCGATGTTTTTAAAATGCAGTGCCCGGCCCTGTGTCGATGTTTTTAAAATGCAGTGCCCGGCCCTGTGTCGATGTTTTTAAAATGCAGCGCCCAGCCCTGTGTCGATAATGTTTTTAAAATGCAGCGCCCGGCCCTGTGTCGATGATGTTTTTAAAATGCATAAACTTGGCTCCAGAAAACGACCTTTGGCAATTTGGGATTGAAATGGCTAATGGCTTCCTTGATATTTGTAAATTATTCGGTTATCTCATTACGGTCAGGGAGGAAAAATATCTTTTCTTCTACCTATCTTAGGCTCATGGCTGAGATCCCTATAGCAAAAGACAGAGGAAAGCATAGAAATTTAATGTAAGTTTTATGTGGCATTGGAGCCTTCATAAGGAAAGGAAGATCCAAAGAAACAACCTTTTTTTTTTTTGGAAATGGTGTCTCGCTCTGTCCCCCGGGCTGGAGGGCAGTGGTGCAATCTTGGCTCTCTGAAGCCTCTACCTCCCGAGTTCAAGCAATTCCCCTGCCTCAGAATCTCGAGTAGCTGGGATTACAGGGGTGCACCACCATGCCAGGCTGATTTTTGTATTTTTAGTAGGGACAGGTTCTCAGAATCTCGAGTAGCTGGGATTACAGGTGCACACCACCATGCCAGGCTGATTTTTGTATTTTTAGTAGGGACAGGTTTCGCCATGTTGACCAGGCTGGTCTCGAACTCCTGACCTCAAGTGATCCGCCTGCCTCAGCCTCCTAAAGTTCTGGGATTACAGGCGTTAGCTACTGTTCTCAGCCAAACTTGAACATTTTTAATGGTAGGTTTAATGAAGAGTGGAGGGTTGTGGAGAAATAGGATAGGGCAAACAGAGTATGATCCCATGGTAATAAACTGGGAGACCTAGCAAGGCCTATGCATTCACATTTCTCTCTGCATCCCTGTGTCTTTGGAGATGAGGACACTCTTTTCCTCTATGTATAAGGAGGGTGCCTCTCACATGAGGGTCCTATGACCTGCTGTAGGGGAAGCTCAGAAAATCCTTCCTAGGTGATATGACCTGCTTCAGGGGAGAGGGGCAGGAAAAGTCAAATCAGAGAGACCTTCCTGATTGTGTGGTTTTTCTCCAGTTCTTTCCGTTTAAAATATCCAATATGCCATGGTGCCATATTTTGAGGTAGTGGGTCCTAAACCCTATCATCACTTATATTCTGGACGGCCCCCAGAAACCAATAAAAAAAGTGCAATCATAAAATGTCTAAGTAGGCGGATAAAAGTTAGAAAGGAACATCATTGAGTTCTAATAAATTTCAGAAGCAAGAGTCTACCAACCTCATTTCCTGCCACAGTCCACTTTGGCAGAGTTCTGTAAAACGCACCCCACACTACCCACAAATCTAAATTGGAAAACTGAGTGAGCACAAGGATGTGTGGAAATTGTGCACAGGCAAGAAAAGCACAGCATGAAAAGGAGCACCCCCCGCTTAGCACCTATAAAAATAAATAGTGTAAAAGCAGTCCTCTTGCAGGAGGGGGTCAGTCCTGCACAAACATGAAGTCTCAGTTCTGGGGATGCAGCCATGAACAACGGCACATGGGCTGGGCCTGGAGGCCATCATTTGGTGGGAGCTAGACCAGAGGTGAGGTAGATAATTTCATGGAGAGCCTGCGATGCAGGGAGTGAGGGGGCCTAGGAGAGCCGATTCAACAAATGCATGCCAAGAGCCTACCACATGATAGTGGGCCCTGTGGATATGGTGCTAAATAAGATAGAAGCTATCTGTGCCCTTGAGCAGGGCTCATCATCTGGGAGAGTGGGGAACAGAGAATGAAAATGGAAAGGCCTTAATTTAAAAGTGTGGGAAACACTAATTTTAGGGATTGTGCAGGGGGTTATGATGGCCACAGAGAGGACATTTAAACCCTTGACTAGGGTGCCTCAGGGAATATTTATGGAGGAAGGGAATATTCAAGCTAAGACCCAGAAGATGAATTGGAATTAGCCAGGCAAAGGGGCAGAGGCTGAGATGGCACGACAGAGCAAGGAGTGGGCAGAGGGATGAGGGAGTTAAGAGAAGTAGGAGGACAGGGCAGAGAAGACCTCGGGACTGAGGGTTGTAGGAGACGAGTGTAAGGCTTGGGCTGTATCCTACAGCCATGTTTTAGCTCCATACAGTCCCCCTCTCCCTGCCCTCAGCCCACCAAGTCACAATGTGCCATCCTGAATCCCAGAGGAAGGAAAAATTGTAGACAGGAGACACGACAGTGCAAGAAATGGTGACAAGAACCATGAAACATACATCATGACACCTCATTGATGATTGGACTTGTTTCCCTCAAGGCAGAAGTGAGCAAAGAAACTCCCAGGGCCGGTTTGGGGAGACCCGCAAATCACCTCGTGGAATTGGCTTCTCAGGTCCTGATGCTCACTCCTGTGACTTGGGGAAGATGTTGGCGGAGGGGAGGGTCGTGAGATGCTCCCCCGCTTCCACCTGGAACACTACTGAAAAAAGAAAAGTCGCTGTTAGATAGGAAATTTGGAGTCAAGGGCAATTTGGAAGTGGAAAATCTAGGGGAGAATCCAGTACATGTGACTAAAGGAGTAGGGTTAGGTGGTCCTTCTCTCTGCTTTCTTTAAAATCCTCATTCTACTGTTCGCAGGTGTTGTGTCTTTCAGTGGCTGCTGGACAGGTGTTGCCTTCTGTTTTTTTCCTAAGGGTATTTGATAAAATGGTCACTGACGGCCACCACTGGATTCATGTTCCATAGAGGGCTGATTCTGTCTGTGCCTTTAGTGTAATCTCAAATATTTTGAAGATTCAGAAAGTAAAAATATAAATTTTGCTAACCTAGACATGGTAATTGGTGGCAATTAAGAAACATTTAACTTGCCAAGAAGCATCGTTTTTTGTGGGGTTCTTGAACTACTTAGAAATGGAGACAAAGTACTCATAAATATTACTTTAAATATTGATCATAACATATTTCTGTGTTCTCCCTATAGCTGTGAGCCCTAAAGTCTGGCTTTCAGAATGCAAATGTATTCACGACCCCGAACTCCTGTCACACCTTAAAGAATCATCGTAGTCAACTCTTTTAACGGCATTATTTTAAGATGTTAAATGTCACTTTGGGGATGTCATTAACAATCACACATATGTAACTGCCGTTCTTAATGAAGAAAGTGTTTTGACAATTTGGATAAGTTGCTGTCTTTCTTTCCATCGTTTTGCCTTGAAAGACAAAGTGATTCCATTCTAACTAAAAGCACAAAAAGTCTTTATATCAGGGAGAGGATTTGGAAGTTCAGATCTGGAATTTGACTATACTCAAAAATGGCACCCAGATACTAGAAACACTTAATGACACGCCTCAGGACTCTCGTTGGTTCTGTCTTGAAGCCACGTCATGGCTGGTGGCTATAGGACCTGGGAGAAGACTTAGGGGGCCATTCTGTGCCTTCATGTAACGGAAGCCCTACAAGCGTCATACTTTTTTCTGAATGATTCAAGGGAAAAAACAAACAATGGATAAAAGTTGCAGTGAGGAAGATTTTGATTCAGTACAAAGAACAATGTCTAACAGTGTGGGCTATCTGGAAATGAGATTAATTGTTCTGTGGAGGTAGTGAACTGCCCATCAGTAGTGGGATTCAGGTTGAGGATGTGTGGGAGGAAGGGACCGCATGGGATAAAGGTCCATTCTCCAAAGATACATTGTACTCAGTCCAGGATCAGGAGAATCGGGAAATTCAGTACTCCAGATTAGGGATGAGGTTGAAAAGGCAGGACAAAATTCATTACATTCCCCTAAAACGTATTTATTGATTAAGCACAATATGACTATAAAATGGAAACAAATCCCCCAATTTGGCCAGCAAATGACAAGAGGCTTCAGCTCAAGGAAGCCACCAGATAAGTCAGACATGAATGAGTGAATTTGGACCTGTCTCCCAAGTGGGCCCCTGGGAGAGTGGCGATCTCATAATAATCAGAGAAATGATGTAACTGTTGATGTTATCCCTCTTCAGACAGTTTATATTCTCAGGAAGAAACAAAGAAACAGTGAGAATAGGAGATGGCAGAAGGACAGGATCTTTCTCCACCCTGGGGTGGTGTGGTGGTAATGGGACAGAGAGAGCCAGAAGCCCCACTTACTAACTGCCGACCCCCCAGGGTGCCTGTCACTGCGTGCTCATTTGCTTCATCTCCTTGGCGATGACTAATGCCTGAAACCACAGCACGTGGCAGGGCCTCTAGTTGGCAATTCATTTCCTACATGTACTTTGCTTTGCCTCTAAATGACAGTGACGTCATGGGTTTAATTTTGAAATTGTTCTTCTTTGGATTTTTCAAATGACTTTCAGATAAGTAGAATCCAAAGTTTGACTTTTGGTACTTTTTTTGGTGACATTTTCAAGTAATAAAAAAGTATGCTACCCAGTAATTGCTTTTTCATAAAATATATTATTTTTCATGATTCAGAAAGCAATCCATATTTATTATAGGACATTTGAAAAATATAGGAAAGCACAAATAAAGATGAAGAGCACATGTAACCCACCATCCAGAGGTAAATACTGTCAACACACTGGTGTTTATTCTGTTATTCTTGTGTGGGTGTGTAGGGATTGGATTGCGCTGTGTACACACATCCATAATCTAACTTGCTCATTTAACTAATAATACATTGCCAACTTTTTCCATATCCACAAATAACAATCTAATCTATATGACAATCTTCAACTGTGGAGTAGTATTCCAGCCTATGGATGCACCATAATTAATCAGTTCCTTGTTAACCATGTAGATTGTTTCAGTGCTTTTGCTAGCATAAAATGCTGTTAAAGAGTTTTATGCATTCGTTTCTGAGCAAATGAATACTTTTTTCCTTTGAGTTATTTCTAAAGAGAAATTTCTAAATAAAGGGTATGTACCTCTTAAGTCTTTGTATATTGCCTGTCCCGCCTCCTCCACCTTCTGGTCCCCCATTAACCTAAGGCAGTAACAATTGACATATTTTCCCCTCATATGGAAGGACTATTTATCCACGTTCTTGCCAATACGGGATATAGTCATTATTTCACTGCTAATTTTCCAGTATGGTTAGTGAAAATGCTATGTCATCATTTCAATCAGCATTTCTTTGACTGTTACAGAGGTTGGTCATTTTTTATTTTTATTTTTTGGTAATTTGTCATCCTTGCTCTCTGGCTGTCTGTGTCCAGGAGTGTCTACCCTTTCCGTGCTGATTTTTAAGCACTCCTGTTGGACTTCCTCATTGATTTTGTTTGAAGAAAAGACATTGAAACTTCTTTGTTGGGAAAAATACAATTCAAAAAATTAGTTAAGAATTATTTTGTAAAATGAGTAACCACACTTAAAAACAAATCCATATTTGCTATGTAGAATTTGCTGAAATCGAGGCTGCACGCAGTGGCTGAAGCCTATAAACCCAGAACTTTGGGAGGCTGAGGTGGGTAGACCACTTGAGGTCAGGAGTTTGAGACTAGCCTGGGCCAACATGATGAAACCCCATCTCTACTAAAAATATACAAATTAGCTGGGTTTGGTGGTATGTGCCTGTAGTCCCAGCTACTTGGGAGGCTGAGGCAGGAGATTTGCTTGAACCCAGGAGGCGGAGGTTGCAGTGAGCCGAGATTGCACCACTGTACTCCAGCCTGGGCGACAAGAGTGAAACTTCATCTACACACACACACACACACACACACACACACACACACACACACAGAATTTGCTTTAATCCAGCCGCATGCATATTGGTTCTGTCTTTGACCCCCAATTAATTCTTTTTAAATCCAGAGAAATCTTATAATTATTCCTAAACTCTAACATGTTGATGAATACATTTAAATGGTAACTCAAAAGTTAAAAATGACATAAATTTATTTCAAGTGGACGTGTGTGTGGGCATATGTGCTCTCCTGTCCCAGTGAATTTGTGTGGAGGTTTGACATCCATTGCATTTGTACTTGAAATATAGGTGACATGTGGATCTGTTCTTTTGTTGTCTTATCATCTGAAAGGCTCAGTCACCATAATAAATTGAACTAAGAATCTTACTTGAATATGTCCCAGAACAATCTTAGGGCATGCTCTATCTTAGATGAATTTTCTTTGAGGTCCACGTCTCATGTTTCAGAAGGACAGGAACAATGCCTTGGGCTTATTTTCCTCTCCTCCAGATCTCCTACCCCAATTTTAGGTTGAGAGTAGGTACACAATTCATCAGCAATTATCTAGCTGAATGGTTTAGCATTTTTATGTCATCAAAATGGAAGAAGAGCACATATCAAATGGGAGGACTAAATTCATTAGTGGAATGATTTTGCTAAGTCACAAAACACACAGATAGGATTTGGATCGATGTCTATTTAGAATAAAGATTGCATTCTTATTTCATGCAGGCAGCTTCAATTCCTCATTGTTACGGAGAAAGCCATTACTATTCCATCACTCCGATGCTGTCACTAGGAGGTAACATTAGTTAGACCAGCCTGTGCAGGATGAATCTCATTCTTAGTTCCAGAGTCTCACAAAATGCCTAGAAGATCTTAATTTAGGAAGCAAGGGGCAAATGAAACAATTTGAATGTTTTCTTTTTCTCATTATTCAAGGTTTCAAAAATGAGGACAACGAGACTTTGGCATGGGAGGGTGTTATGAAGGAAAATTACCTTGTCAAGATCAACACGAAAGCCAACGACACCTCAGAGGAGTATGTCAGACATCCCTTTCTACTTTGCAAGGCTCCCTCTAGACATAAGCCCACAGATTGTAGGCAGCTTATCTGAGCAAACTCAGTAAAGAGCATTTTCAACAGAGAGCAATACCACCACAAAGATATTACCCGGGCAATTGAAGATGACAAACACATAAGTGTGTGCCAGCCTTTGGAGAAGGGGAAAAAACACCCATCTACTATCCCAATTGCCCTTCAAGGCTCTGGGAGAGAAAGAGGTATTTGGAGCCTGCAGTGCAGGGCCATGAAACTGGGTAACCAGAAGAGGGTGGGTCCCCTGCTGCAGCTGCAGAGGTGGGTTCTGGCAAGACTCACAGGTCATGGGCCATTGGCATTATCTTGCAAGTGCCACACACCTATTTATCTTTGTGGTGAAGAAGTACAGAGACGAGAAGATAGACAAACCATTTTCTTGATCTATTACAGGCTGCCCCTGAAAAATCCTGAATTCATTTATGAATCGCCTGAAGCTGTTATAAAATCCATGTGATTAAGAAATACATTGATAAAACATCTTATAGAAATAGATAAGTCATAGCTAAGTCTGTAGGTGGCCCACAAGTAATATGCTGTGAAGTGTGTAGAGTGTGCTCTTATTGTAAAGGTTAACGTTCTTCACTGACAGCTGTCACTCTTCTTGAGAGCTCAAAACACCTCAAGTTTTACTCTAACAAAATATGAGTATACATAAGCACAACGAATACCTTTGCTGGGTTCAATACAGCTGTTGAAAGAAGCATGGGATGCTCATTCTCTTTTAACAGCAGAGACAGTGCCCTAAGCTCTCCTCTGTCCCTAGACTCTGACATCTAGGTTTTGCAAGGCACGGACAGACTAACAAGTCATTTTTCAACACCCTATCAATAGAGATAGTATTTATGTGCTGTGCTTCTAATTGTGATGAGACAAAATTCTGCTTTGTTTGGGTACTAGGAAGACAATCAGAAAGAAAGGTAAATGCAGCTGATTCTTGATCTAGCTGAGAGTGAACATGACTTGTATTCTGGACTTTAATTTAAAAGACTGCAAAATGGAGCCTAATAGCCCTCTCTCAATCTCTTTTTCTCTTGTTCACTTTGTTTTTCATTAATTTCTTTGCAGAATGAGGCATCGATTTAGACAACTGGATACAAAGGTATGGATCTGTTAATAGTTTGGAATTTTTTTTCTTTTTTTTTTTGGTCACTAATATCTTTGAGCTTTCAACTAGAGGCCAGTAGTTATGGTCAGAAAATAAAAGAAGTTATATTCAGCTTTCTTAATTCACTATCTAAGAGCTGGGTGCTGGAATGGAATTGCTTCTTATGCTGTAAGCATCGCCCAGGTAAGCGTCTTGAAGTCCCAATTCCATGATGTCTAAAATCTTTTCTGTCTTATCTGACTCAGGGCCCCCTCTTCTCTTTCTTTCAGCTGTGGAGGCAGGTGAAGATGCTTACAATTATAGGGAACATAAGGAAGGCTCAAAAGAGCTTTCTGGGGGCCTGTGTGCCTCGATGCTCATCTTTGCTGCCACTCTGATTTGTTGCCTGTTTTATTTGGAGGGCATTGGAAATGCGTGAGTACGCATACGAACTCCAGGCATAGACAGAGTGTGCCTGCCCTCACTCTGAGCTGGGTAGCTGAAATTATAATCAGGTTCAAATCACAATCGATTCCTATATGCTAGATTCCTGCCAGGCTCTGAAGAGGAGATAATATTTGGTATTCTATCATGTTATTTTGAGAATGGCATCCTGGATAATGACATTCATAGACCTTCCAGTATTGTGGCTGTTCGGTGGGTAGACAAGACCCATCTGGTTTGGCAAAATCTACACCACCCAGTACCTTGTCCATAGTATAGAGCCTTAATAAATGTTTATTGAATGAATAAATGAACAAAAGGGGTCCTTTGCAGAGCTCTCATATAAGAACGTATCTGTTTACAGTTTCTTGTTTATTTATTTGTGTTATTTACCCCCAACATTTAAAAAATCTAGGTAGTAGTTGTCAGCTGTGAAGGTCCTAAGTCTAGAGAACCGTGGGTTGTTCTAAGCAGCTGCAATGAGGGGCAGCATGAACCAGAAGAGAGCCCAGTGGGAAGAAGTAGGGGAGTCTGGGTTATTCTGCCTGGGAACTTGCTTGCCTCTATAGAGTTGGATTTTATTCCCACGCAAGGGAAGGCTCAGGGAGTTTTAAAACCCAAGAGGGACCTATCTGGAATCCTCCTTTCAAAGTGCTCTCTGAGTGATCAGAATGATCGTGGAGGAGAGGCTCCAGCAATCTGGTTGGGGAGTTGGACGCAGTAGGAACTCTTCTACGTGGCGTGTTTGTAGAGAAAACAGTATTTTAGTTTGTTTTGTTGTTTTGTTTCTTATTTGAGAGTTTATTTGGGGTGACTTTGGAGGAAGCTAATGGAAAGCCGTCTTAGGGTTTGGGCAAAAGCTTCCCCAAGCCACACCTTGGTTCTGACTCTGCTGTGGGACATGCAGAGAGTGGATAGAGGAGGGCAGCAACAGTGGATGCAGGAAGAGAGGGCCAGGGTGGGAGACTTGGCCCCAGCCTGGGCCCTGGGTCAGAGGAGAAGCAGTAGAATTGTGGATACAGGACCAGCTGACCTGACTCCCAGGGTCCAGAATGTTCGATGTTCGTCAGCCTGGACCCCCACTGCACAGCGCAGAGCCTTGGCCATCACTCAGGTGGTCCCACCGCCTCCCTCTCCTCCTCCCTTTCCCCTTGCTCTCTGTCTCTTTTAAATTTTCCCCTCTGTCCTCTTACCTCCCCTTCTGAACAACCAAAAAACCCTCCTTCTTTTTGCTCACACAGAATTTTAAGGATAATCTTTTGTTTCTCAAGAAAGCTTTTGGAATCTCTTAAATTTATTTTAAAACAGCTTTATTGAGATATCACTGACATATAAAATTACATATATTTAAAATGTACAATTTGATGGTTTGATGCATGTATACATTGCAAAATGATCACTACAACCCAGCCCAGCTAATTAACATCGTATTACTTCTACATATTTACCATCTGTGAGTGTTGTAGGTATGTGTAAGGGAATGAGATTAATTTAAAATCTCTCCTCCTGGCAAATTTCATGGGTCCAATATTGTTAACAGTTGTCACCATGCTGTACAGTCGATCTCTAGAATTTATTTATCTTGCATAACAGAAATTTTCTGCCCTTTGACCAATATCACCTTATTTGCCCCTTCTTCTTAGCCCCTGGCAACCACCATGCTACTCTCTGACTCGATTAGTTTGACTCTTTTAGATTTCACATATAAGTGAGATAGCACAGTATTTCTCTTTCTGTGTCTGGCTTATTTTGTTTAGCATAAAGTCCTTCAGCTCCACTTATGCTGTGGAAAATGGCAGGATTTCTTTCCTTATTTTAAGGCTGAAAAATATTCCATTATAGGTATATACCACATTTTCTTCATCCATTGATCTCTTGATGGACATTATTAGGTAGTTTCCATATTTTGGCTATTGTGAATCATGCAGCAGTGAATGTGAGAAGGCAGATATCTCTTTGTGATCCTGATTTCAATTCTTTTGGATCTAAACCCAGAGGTGGGATTGCTGGATCATATGATAACTATATTTTTATTTTTGTGAGGAACTTCTATACTGTTTTCTGTAATAGCTATATCAACTTACCTTCCCACCAATAGTGTACAAGAGTTCCCCATTTCCCACCTCCTTGCCAACACTTATCATCTGCCTTTTTGATAATAACCATCATAACAGATGTGAGGTATGGTCTCATTGTGGTTTTGATTTGCATTTCCCTATGATTAAGTGCTGAGCACCTTTTTATATACCTGTTTGACATCTGAATTTCTTCTTTTGAGAAGTGTCTATTTAAGTTTTTGCCCACTTTTTAGTCAGTTTATTTGTATTTTTGGTATTGAGTTGTGTGAGTTCCTTATGTATTGTGGATATTAGGTGCTTACTGATAAATGGTTTGTAAATCTCTTTTTCCCACTTCATAGGTTGCCCTTTTATTTTATTTATTGCTTCCTTTGTTGTGAAGAAGATTTTGTTTTATATAATCCCACTTGATTATTTTTGCTTTTGTTGTCCTTGCTTTTGGAGTCATATCCAAAAATTCATTGCCAAGACCAAAGTCAAGAAAGTTTTTCCCTAGGCTTTCTTCTAGGAGTTTTGCAGTTTCAAGTCTTATGTTTAGGACTTTGATCCGATATTTTGAGTTGATTTTTGTGTATAGTGTGAGATAGGGGTCCAATGTTATTCTTTTACATGTGGATATTCAGTTTTTTCAAAACCATTTATTGAAGAGACTTTCCCCACTGATGCCTTTAGATAAATCAGTTGGCTATAAATACGTGGATTTATTTCTAGGCTCTTTATTCTATTCCGTTGGTCTATATGTCTTTTTTATGCCAGTACCATACTGTTTTGATTACTTTAGCTTTGTAATATAATTTGAAGTCAGGATGTGTGATGCTTCCAGCTTAGTTCTTTTTGCTCAAGATTGCTTTGGCTATTCAGAATCTTCTGTGTTATTATATACATTTTAGGATTGTTTTTTTCTATTTCTGTAAAAAAAAAAATACCCATGGTATTTTGATAGGGATTGCATTGAATCTGTAGACTTCTTTGAGTAGAATGGATATTTTAACTATATTCATTTTTTCAATCCATGAACATGGGATGTTTTTCCATTTATTTGTGTCTTTTAAACTTTCCTTTATTGATGTTTTATAATTTTCAGTGTACCAGTCTTTTACTTCTCTGTTAAATTTCTAAGAACTTTATTCCTTTTGTTAATTATATTAATGGATTGTTTTCATAATTTCCCTTCTAGATAGCTCTTTGTTGAGGTATAGAAATGCCATTAATTTTTGTATGTTGACTTTGTATCCTGCAAATATACTGAATTTATTTATTAGTTCTAACAGTTTTTTGTTGTTGTTGTTGTTTGTTTTTTTTTTTTTTTTTTTTGAGGTAGAGTCTCACTCTGTCACCCAGGCTGGAGTGCAGTGGTGCAATCTCAGCTCACTGCAAGCTCCGCCTCCTGGGTTCAAGCAATTCTCCTGAGTAGCTGGGATTACAGGTGCGCACCACCATGCCCGGCTAATTTTTGTATTTTTAGTTGAGATAGGGTTTCACATGTTGGGCAGGATGGTCTCCATCTCCTGACCTTGTGATCTGCCCACCTTGGCCTCCCAACACGCTGGGATTACAGGCGTGAGCCACCGCGCCAAGCAGTTCCAACAGTTTGTGTGTGTGTGTGTGTGTGTGTGTGTGTGTGTGTGTAGTCTTTAGGGTCTTCTTCATATAAGATTATGTTATCTGCAAACAGATAATTTTAGTTTTTTTCTTTTTTCTTTAGATGGCTTTTCTTTTCTTTTTTTCTTGTCTGAGTTCTCTGGCTAGAACTTCTCATGCTGTTAAATAGCAGTGGTGAGAATGGGCATCCTTGCCTTATTCTAGATCTTAGAGAAAAAGGTTTCAGTTTTACCCCATGAAGTATGATGTTAGTTGTGGGTTTTTCATATATGGCCTTTATTGTGTTGTGGTAAGTTCCTTCTATACCTATTTTGTTGAGAGAGTTTTTTTTTTAAATCATGAAAAGACCTTGAATTTTGTCAACTGCTTTTTCTGCATCTATTGAGATGATCGTGTGGTTTTTATCTTTCATTCTGTTAATGTGGTGTATCACACTGATGAATCTTCGTATGTTGAACCACCCTTGCATACCAGTGATAAATACCACTGGGTGGTGGTGTCTCCACGGAGCCTTTTAATGTGCTCTGAAATTCAGTTTGCTAGTAATTTAGTGAGATTTCTGTATCTATGTTCCTCAGGAACATTGGCCTATAGTTTTCTTTCTTGTGTTTTCTTTTTCTGGCTTTGGTAAAAGAATAATGCTGGCCTCACACAATGAATTTGTACTTGTTCCCTTTTCTATTTTTTGGAAGAGTCTAAGGTTTGGTATTTGTTCTTCTTTGACTGTCTGCCAGAATTTCCCAGTAAGCCATCTGATTTCCCAATAAGCCATCCTGGGCTTTTCTTTGTTGAAAGCTTTTTGTTTGCTGATTTTTTTTTCTTCATTTGTTGTTTGTCTGTTCAGGCTTTGTATTTCTTCTTGATTCAGGTCTTTGTAAGTTGTACATTTCTGGGATATTTCCATTTCTTCCAGGTTTATCTACCTTTTTGCATATAATTGTTTATATTAGCCCCTTCGGATTCCTTTCGTTTCTATGCCCTCTCTGTAAGGTTGTCTTTCTCATTTCTGATTGTATTTATTTGTGTCTTCTTCCTTTTTTTAGAAAGGTTTGTTGATTTTGTTTATCTTTTCAAAAAACCAACTCTTACTTTCAATGATTTTTTTCCCATTGTTTTTTGACTCTCTCTTTTTTAAAATGTATTTTGCTTTTGGAGTTTTTGCTCTACTTTAAACAGCTTACTAAAGTCATTTTACTATTAACAAATACAAGGCTCTCTCAAAAGCTCCTATAGGGAATACAAAATTTCCCCATCTCATTATACCAGAAAACAATACAATTCATCTTATGTCTGTAAGGTATGGATCTTACTATGCCTTATTTATTTTAGGAAGCCATTAGCACTTATAGTTTCATTTTGTTCTTTTATTTTTAAGCAGTTAAAGAAAAAGGTTACTACTGAAATTAAGCCCAACTTAAATACAGATTTTTTGTTTCTTGAGTGAGTGATATAGCAAATTAGAAACCAAACTATACAGCAATTGCTTTTATCAAGTGTACTAATATGACATGTAATTTAAAATGACTTCATGTATCTTTTGTAATAAATTTGTGAAACATGCATGGATCAAGATTAATTTCATTATGCCTCTTACTTAAATTGTGTGCTCTTTTTGTGTGTGTGGGGAGATCTTTTATTTGCAAAAATTTTATTAGTATCACATTATTTTTATTAGTATTATACTTTTACTAAAGCAAAACTTAATTAGTATCTTATAATTTTATTAATGTTAGTTACATAGAACTTTTTTTTTACGTATTACTTGTTCGTATTATTGAAATCTATTATCTCTATTTGGGAGCCACTAATGATTTGCCTCTGAATAAAGTTAATATTAATTGGTTTACTAACTAATTGCTAGTGATATGATTTCAGAAAGTAAGCAATGATCAGGATCTGAAATATCACATGCCACTCTCATTCTGCCTTATTTTAGATGTGCTGTACTTGCTACTTAGTAGACATGTCTGTTTCTTAGAAAAGGCACGGAGCAATAATTTAAAAATGAAAGTTGGAAAATTTATCTTAAGACTGGTTCTATTTTTTTCTCTTTCCAAGCTTAATGATCTCAAGGGTCTTCTGAAAGAAATTGCTAATAAAATAAAATAAAACTGTATGAACTCTAATGGAGAAAATCTAATTATAGCAAGGTGAGTCATTCTAATGGCTTTTTACTTTGCTCTGAAAATTTGCATCTTTTAAGACTAATTTAAAATCATGATTTTTTCTCAGTTATTTCCATAAATTACCAAATTTGAAAATAACGCATTGTGGAAAAAAAAATTACAGATATACAGAAGGAAACAAGTTGAAGTTCCTTCTCACATTACCTTCCCTACCAATTTTGGCCCCCACACCAGGGGTTAGCATTGTTAGGGACAGGTTTTAAGTATCTTGTCCTGTAGGACCTTTTAAAACACTTGTAACCTATACAGCTATTTTGGCATGAATTGAGACAAGGCCACACTGTTCCAAGATCTGCTATTTTTTAATCTTCCTTAATTCTGTATCATGAATGTATTTACAGATCAGCACCCAAAAATGTCTTATTCTCATATTATATTTATTACTATGAATATACAAATATGTTAATCATCTTTTTGCTAACAAAAAATGTTTTGGTGAGGCATTCAAGGTTTTTAACAATAGTTCTTTTGCACAATTAAAATGCAATTCAATTTACTGGCAAAATTTAACCCAAGGCTTTGGTCCATGGTCTTACCATTTGCTTTTATTATGTTTTCTCATTACCTGTCCAAATCTTAAAACCAAATGTTAAGAATGTTTTTAGGGACATGTCGAGTTAGGAAAAAAACAGCAATGGGCATTCCACTGGATTAGAATTTTTTTTTTGAGAAAGCAAATTGTAAGGAATGGAAACATAATTAAGAATTCTCTTCTTTCTCCTTCCTCTCTTCCCTTCCTTCCATAAGTATTTATTGAGTACCTGCTCAGCACTCAGAACTGTGCTGACCCTGGCACTGACCTCATGCACTGACCACTGTCTATGCATTAAGTACTTAAGCTACAGAAATTTATATTCATGGGATGATTGTGCTATAGGGGAAATCATGTTGCATCAGGTTCCTTTCAATCTTTCTGGTCTCAGAATTCTTTTCCTTGGGTTCTGACAGTTATAGCTCATATCAAAAAGCACTGTATTATGGAGGGCTTTGTTAGAGCAAGATTGATGCATATTTGATGTAATCTGAAAGGGAGGTACAGCCTCCTAATGTGCTCAAAAAAATAAGCCTTGCATATTAAGGGAGAACTTATTTCAACTCTTTCATAATTGTGTTTAATGAAAACACTATTAAACCTTATAATAAATTACAATTTGGATTTTGAAACACATGCTATTTTGTCAGCTGAAATGTAGAAAAAAAAATCAGGAACGTAAAACAACTAAAATGATACAAATCTAAAGGTGATTAAAGAGTTGTAATCATCAGAAAAGAGTCAGATTCAGACACACACATCCCCCTCTTAAATCTCCAATCCTCTCATCTCTCATTCTTTCTCAAATGTGCTGTGAGTAAAATAGGCAGACACACTGATTTCCTATCAACTTGCCCTTTGTTTAACTTTAAACTTTAATTGACATATTGAGAATTAAGCAATTGGTGAATGAAAAGGAACTGAGAGAAGGACATCACCTACTTTTTATGTGTGTGCAGGTGTAGATATTTGCGTCTACACAGAAAAAAAGAGGAGCAAAAGAGTCCGTGAGAAAACAGGTGCCCCCAAAATTCAGAACCACTGGTGGTCTTAGAGACAACAAATTTGGCATGTTCAATTTTTCGTATGCTTTTTAATTCTAGATATAAGATCATTTTTTTGAATGGTGTGTTTGTCATATCCTTAACGTCACTGAAAATATAACTTTATAGGCAACCAGCTAGGTATACTCTGCCAGTGCCTCCCGAGGCTTCTTTCTCTAGAGGGGTGACGGTAATCTTTCCCTGGGGTAGTGGTCAGGGAAGACAGCGTCAGCCTCTTGTGGGAGTGAACTGGCAACCATTTGATGTGGGCGAGGAGCTGACCCTGGGGGCAAGCCTTTGCCAATTCCCCCGTCTCCATCCCTGAATCAGCCTTTGATCCAGGAAGCTGAGATGAAATAAACAGGTAATTGTCTATTGTTTTCCTTCTCTTACACCAAAGTTGAAAGGAAGTAAGAATCCAGGGTGAGAGCAAGCCATTTGTTTTCTCCTATCTTCACACTTAAGGAGTGGGCACCCTCCTCGAAGACTATGGGAATAGACCTTACCTTAAGGAAGGCCCCTGGAAATTGTTCATTTCCTGCATCATAATCCATTGATTCTTGCATTTGCTGCGCTTACGTTCTAGTTCATTAAAAGAATCTAAGTTGTTCTTTGGGGGGGCTCATCATAAACCCACATTTTTGTAAGTTATTTCAGTTTTAATTCATTTTTTTTAAATTTATGCAGAAACCACTGAGCAAATAAAATGCTCAGAAACGTTCTGGATTTTAACCTAGATTGAATGAGTTGAGCCTTGATCATTCAACCTGAGTCACGCAGTTCACACCGACAGACTGGTCAGAATACACATCTTTTAAAAAAAAAAACGTTCTCAGAGCTGCTTCTATTAAAAAAAATCTCTCAACTTTGGTGGTATATTTGGATCTATTCCCAGTATATTCCCAGTATATTTTGAAGCAAACCATATCCTGCCTGAGAATGGAAGTGGGAAATCTATTCTTAACACAGTGTTCTTTCTTTGTTTTTATAGATCATATTAAGGAATGCTGATGAACCATTTTGCTGTCGACTACTAAATGAGAGATTTTCAGGACCCTGGGTACAGGATGGATGATTTTTAATCACCCTAGTGTGCTGAAACCTTGAGAAAGTGTGTGATTGGTTTCACACGTGAAGATGGATATAAAGGAAGAACATTTCCTTTACGTGTTTCTCCAGAATGGTGCCTGTTTCTCTCTGTGTCTCAGTGCCCGGGACTGGAGGTTGATAGTTTGAGTGTGTTCTTACCACCTCCTTTTTCCTTCAATCTTATTTTTGATGAACACGTATATAGGAGAACATCTCTCCTATGAATAAGAACCTGGTCATGCTCTGTACTGTGTCTTTGTTTATTTCCAATTGATTGTCTACCTTTCCCTTTTTTGTATTATGTGACTGATTAGTTGGCATATTCTTAAAAGTCTCCCAAATTAGGCCAGATTCTGAAACATGCTGCAGCAAGAGGACCCTGCTGTCTTCAGGAAAAGTGTTTTCATTTCTCAGGATGCTTCTTACCTGTCAGAGGAGTGACGAGGCAGTCTCTTGCTCTCTTGGACTCACCAGGCTCCTATTAAAGGAATCATCCCCATTCCTAAATATGTGAAAAGTCACCCAAAATCAACCTTGAAAGGCACTACTGACTTTGTTCTTATTGGATACTCCTCTTATTTATTATTTTTTCCATTAAAAATAATAGCTGGCTATTATAGAAAATTTAGACCATGTAGAGATGTAGAAAGAACCTACATTGTCCCCCATTACCTTAAGGTAATCACTGCTAACAATTTCTGGATGATTTTTCCAGTCTATTTTTTTTCTATGTATGCCTCAATTATCTTACAAAATTTTACAGAATATTATCATACTACATATATACTTTTATGTAAGCTTTTTCACTTAATATTTTATCAAAGATGTTTTTATTGTATTCATAGCCTTCTTAAACATTATATCAATAATTGCATAATAGGCAACCTCTAGTGATTTCCATAATTTTGCTCATTGAAGACTGTTTCCAATTGATAATTGGATGAGCATCTTTGTGCATGAATCTTTTTGCTGTATTTGGGAAAATTTTCCAAGGTTAGATTCCAAGAAATATTTATTATTAAACCATTTATAAGGCTTTTTCGTAAATGTATAGCAAATAGGAATTATTAACTTGAGCATAAGATATGAGATACATGAACCTAAACTATTAAAATAAAATATAATATTTAACCCTTAGTTTAAGAAGAAGTCAATATGCTTATTTAAATATTATGGATGGTGGGCAGATCACTTGAGGTCAGGAGTTCGAGACCAGCCTGGCCAACATGGCGAAACCACGTCTCTACTAAAAATACAAAAATTAGCTGGATGTGGTGTGCACTCCTGTAATCCCAGCTACTTAGAAGGCTGAGGTACTAGAATTGCTTGAACCCGGGAGGCGGAGGTTGCAGTCCAGCCTGGGTGACAGAATGAGACTCCGACTCAAAATAAATAAGTAAACATTGTGGATGGTGAAGGGAATAGTACAGAATTGGAGAGATTATCTTACTGAACACTTGTAGTCCCAGCTTTCTCTGGAAGTGGTGGTATTTGAGCAGGATGTGCACGAAGCAATTGAAATGCCCATAATTAGTTTTTCAGCTGTGAATACACTATAAACTCAGTGGCTGAAGGAGGAAATTTTAGAAAGAAGCTACTAAAAGATCTATTAGAAAAACTACAAAAGCATTAATTTAAAAAGTTTATTTTTCTTTTGTCTGGGCAGCAGTGAAAACGACTACTCACAACATTCACTATGTTTGCAAGGAATTAACACAAGTAAAAGATGCCTTTTTACTTAAACGCCAATAGTGACCTAAAAGGGAATCTTGTTCATAGGGCCAATCAATTCCTGGTTTCAGATGCTGACAGTAGATGGGCAAAATTTACATGACAAAAATCGTCAATGAATGAAATATTCAAAGTTTCTCTATTAGTGAAAGAATGTCACTTTCACTTCACCATGGCAACTGAAATGTCTGCCTTTTCTGAAACCAGAAGAGGGTAATGTCATCTCCATGCTGACTGGAGAAATAAAGTCTATGGCAGTACGTAAGATTGTGCAGAAACAACAGCCTCAACCTCTTACCCTCCATTCAAGCAGGAAATTTGAGTAAGACCAGTAAATTAAATTTAAAACTTCCCAGAAATCATATTTGGCAGAACCTATTTGATGATCCCCTTTGAATGAATTTGTCCTTATATTCATATTTCCACTGACTGTTTCTGTTAGCTTCAGCAATAGGCCTGTGATTACATCAGTATCAGCTGCAAAAGAAATCCTCCCATTGACACTAAAGACAGAAAACTTGCCCAATACTGAGAAGCAACTTGCATTAGAGAGGGAACTGTTAAGTGTTTTCAACCCAGTTCATCTGGTAGATGTTTTTGCAGGTTACTCTGAGAATTTTGCTTATGAAAAATCATTACTTTTAGCGTAGTTCACAGTAACGTATTGAACATACCTCTAATCAAAGGTGCTACGTTCTTGTGTATGGTACTAAATGTGTCCTGTGTACTTTTGCACAACTGAGAATCCTGCAGCTTGGTTTAATGAGTGTGTTCATGAAATAAATAATGGAGGAATTGTCATGGGTTGCTTTTGTCATTCTATTGAGAGTGAAAAAATAAAATTCCTTAATTCGGTGAGATTCACTTCTATAGGGATTTGGTTCCGAGAGTTACATGAGCTGACTTCTCTAAGCAGATGACTAGAGCATTCTGATTAAATGCAAGCAGATGCATTCCCCGCTCTGGTTCCAGTTCTTGTCAGCATATCCAGATCTGAATTCTGTGGCCCACTTTTTCGTCCCCCCCAAGTCAGGCACCCATCTGTAGCCCCGGGGGTTTCAGATGCATTGACTCAGAGATAGCCCAATGTGTCACGGGTCTTTTTTGAGGCCTCATGTGGGCTCACACACAGGTGCTTCTGCTCTGTATTGGGGACAACATGAATGTCAATTGTCCACAAACCATGTGACAATGGAGCTTTGGGCCCAGCAAAGGACATGATTTCCTTGTTGTAGACATTGTTCCCAGAGTGTTCCTGGGTCCTCCTGCTCCAAACACACATTCGTTCCAGGAAGAATCTGGGAAATGTCTCTTTTCCCACACTGCTGCTTCTTGGTCCACCTGCAGACTGAAGTGTGTTGTTGTCATGGATACAGTTGCTGGTTGCAGCTTCAGTCTCAAATAAAAGGCTTGGAAGTCAGGGTTGAGCTTGTGCTGGATACGGGGAGTACATATCCCTCTGACCTTCCCAACTCAAACCTGGACACAAGCAGGCGAGCCTTTATTCCCCTGAAGATAGAAATCTTTATGGGAAAAGTGACAGTAGCTGGCCTACTTCATTTGTTTATCAGACCCAAGCAGGCATCTCTGAACCACAATTAATTTAGTGGGAGTCAGTTGGGGCTTAGGGTACTGCACGTACACATTTATAGCATCAAATTTTTAAAACCAGTTTTTCCCCTACAAAAGTCTTACCTGACCAGAAGAAATTTCCCGTCTTCCTTTATATGTGTAATATGTTGTCACTAAATGTTGACTTTGGGCACTTCTTTGGTGATAAGAATGGTTCAAAATAAATGAAAGGGATTGGTAGCCTGTGCCTTCCATCATTTTACAATCTGTTTTAGTAGTTGAGGTTAATTTAAGAAATGAAGTTAACACTACAAGGCAGAATTCTAAGTGGGTGTGTATCTCCTTATTCTGCAGATTCACATGCAGAATAAGGAGATTCTCCTGTGTGGGGTTCAGGAGGAGAGAAGTGCCTGGAGGCACTCATCTTTGCTTGTGCAACAAGACGGAGAACATTGGCTTCTCCTGAATTCCTCCCAAGGAGACCAGTCTTGTATTTGTAGAGCAGAAATGCCCCAAGAAACTCCTCAAGGTAGGGGGCAAGACACAGGTGGCTACACGTGGTCACTTACTGCGGTGCATTAGGCAAGGGGGAGGCATTTGAAGTTGCTGGGAAAATACTGAAGAGGATTAACGGAGAATAAGAACAGCGAAAGGGGGCAGGGTAGAGGAATGTGTTAGGGGGAGTGTGTTTTGAAGACCCTTTCGCTGGGATGGTACAAATATTTAGAAAATAAATACACAAATCAAAACATTTGTACCTTCAGAACACCTGTGACCTTCTAGAACATGGAGCATGGCAGGCCTGTGAGCCCCCCAGCCTCCCTTCACGCTAGATTGCAGCAAGATCCTTCAAACACCTTTCCATCCAAGTTCTCACCTCTCCCATTGATTCTCAACACTGCTCTGGGGGTATCTTTTTGAAATGCAGGATGGAGCCAACCATTCCCTGCTCACAAGTCTTCAGAGATTCCCTATGTACTAACCCCTGCCTAACTCCTAATATGGGGCTCATGGACATCGGTGGCCTGGCCCTTACTGACCTCTGCAGATGCATTCCAGAGTCCTCCCTGCCTAGTTCCCAAACTTCAAGGACAGCCGTCTGGGCACAGACCTCATGCCAACTGCCCTTGTGGCCCTCCTGTCCTGAGCTGAGTGGCGTGTCCTCCTTTGACACTTCCCACCACCTACTGCCCAGCACTCTATGCCAGGGGGAAAAATCAAGCCACTTGTGTTGGCCACTCTTCCCCATGGCTTCCCCCCTCCTTTGTTTTATTTCCTCTAGGGGTTTCCTAAAAGGAGGCAGCGTAGTGCTCTAATTCAGAACTGTAGGACAAGTTTGCATCATTGTTCGAACGCTCTGCGACTTTGAAAAGGTTTTATGAGTTTTCTGTGCCTTGATTTTGCATCTGTAAAATGACACCCCCTTCCTCAGAGGGCTCAGAGGATTCCATGAGATAACTTGAGAAGTCCCTAGATCCAGGGCTGGCCCTTTATAACTGCTCAGTGAATGTTAGCTGTCCCCATCAGCACCACTTTCAGCTGTTCTCTCTGGCTAATGTCTCTTCCACCCGTCTCTCTGGCAAACTGTTATTTTACCATCGGGGTCCAACTTGGGAATCACCTCTTCCTGAAGGCCTGCCTTGATCCTCTGCTCCCAGAGCAATCTATGGTAGCTTTGTCCTGTGAGGGCTTCCTGACTCTTCCACTCATGGCACATGTAGAAAATAGAAGAACCTGTAGGTCACCTGGTGCTGGACAAGGACTTCTATTGGTCACAGGCCCTGGCCGTACCCTACTTAGTGGCTCAGTGCCTTGACACCCCTGTAGCCAATTCAAGGTCAGGCAGCTGTGGTTATCAAGTTCCATCATGATCTGTTTATGTATCTCCCTCCCTCACTGTACTGGGAAGTTCTTGAGGGAAGAGACTTCTACAGATTTGTTTAACTCATTACACCCAGACAGTGCCTGGCCTGTTACAGGAGTCGGATGGGATATTTATGTGGTTGAATTGAGCTCTTCTTCACCATTCTCCAAAGTGCTGTATAATTTCTTTATTCATGCTCCTTCTTCTTTCTTGCCTGGTTGAAATATTACTCATTCGTAATTAAGCACCATTGCATCCTTTCCTTGCAATCCCAGGCAGAGGCCACCAGTCCTGCCCTATGTGAGGCCAGAACCCTACTTGTAAACTTGACTGCAGCTCTTGTAGCCTGTCTACAAGGTATGATGGTCATTGTATAGGGGACTCCAGATAAACAGAAACAATAGGAGATTTACTATGAGAAACTGGCTCACATGATGATGGAGGCTGTGAAGTCCCACAATCTGTCATCTGCAAACTGGAGACCCAGAAAAGGTGGTGGTGTGTAATTCCAATCTGAGTCCAAAGGCCTCAGAATCATGAGTATTGATGGGATAGGTCCCAGTCCAAGGGCAGAAGATCAATGTCTCAGCTCAAACAGTCAGGCAGAGGTAGAGAATTCAGCTTCCTTCAGCCCTTTTGTTCTATTCAGGTCCTCAGCGGATTGAGTGATACCCATCCACACTGGGGAGGGAAATCTGCTTTACTGAGACCACCAATCCAAGTGCAAATCTCACCCTGAAACATCTGCACAGACACATCCAGAAATAATGCTTAACCATGAATCTGGGCACCCCATGACCCAGTCAGGTTGACACATGAAATTAACCATCACAGCTCTGTCTCCCCAACTCCCCGGACTAGGAGCTCTTGTGGGACAAAGCCCTGGACATTTGTACCAGTTCACACATGTATGCATTTAGACACAGAAATTCTGTGCCATAATGTGCTTAGATATAACCTAAACCTGTTCTCACGGAATTACAATCCACATGGAAAGCCAGGTCCAAGCTAGTTGCAGTCATGAGCCATGAACTATGATGGGGGCTTTAGTGCAAGGCTTCAGGGGAGGAGGTAGGAGGCAGTCACAACCTAGCTATGGGGGAGAAGGCAGGAAGGCTTCCCAGGACCCAGCTAAGGGATAAATAGTACTTATCATGGAGGAGTGTTTGAAGCAAATGGAACACATATGGGCTAGTGGTGGAGAGCACGGGTTTGAACTGGCTCGCCTGGGTTCAAATCCCGCCTCTGAAATACGCTGGGACCCTTGCCTGGCATGCAGTCTGTACTCATAAAGTGTTAGCTGTTGCAGTTACGTGTCACTTACCAACTTCTTTTAAAATCTGTGTTTTGGGCAAAATGTTTCACAGTTATCCTGTGAAATTTGCCTTCACACGTCAGGAATGATTTTGCCTGAGAAAAATGAAAACAAGCCAATTGCCTTCTGGGAGCTGCACCTGTGGGGTAAAGACCCCAGGCAGGCTTCCTACAGGGACACAGGAGACCTCTGCACGGGGTGTGGGTATCAGAGCACATCTGCCCACTCTCAACCCCAAAGTGGATTTTCCACCCAGTAGAGTGCTTCCCCCCCGCCCACACACACCCAAAACAATAAACCAACAACAAAGCTGCAGTCCCCAAATGAAGAGCTTTAGCAGCGTTTGTTTTTTTTTTTTCCTTTTAAGTTATGAGATGGGAAAATAGCATTTGCAATAATTTTGTGTGGCTATAACTGAAATTCCATGTGCGCGTTTTGCCTTGTTGCTTTTAAGTAAGTACAAAGGGACAGACAATGCTTCCAAGTGCACGCTGTCTCTATTATGACTATGGCAACTCCCAATCACTTGACTGTAAATAGTGCGGGGTTTCTGTCCCTGTTTTCTGTGCCTTTCACCCTACCTTCGAACTTCCTCCTTTTATTGTTTCCTCTTTGTCTCTTGCTTTCATTTCTGCACTGGCAAATGGCTATGATGTCTGGTTCCTTTTTTTCAGAGATGAGTGAAGAATTCAAGAGAAACTGCCCTCTGGGTTGATGGTGAGGGCTTTTGCCTTCAACTTCACCTCTCATGTCCTCTGAATAAACCTCCCAATGGAGGCAAAACCACTGCAAAATGAAAATCCCCTCCTCCCCATTGAATCTGCTCGGCTAAAGCTGCAGCACTCTCGGATTATTCCAGAAATGGATGTCCTTTCAAGCCTCGCTGTCAGTTTCTTTCTGATGCATAAGGCGATTTATGGATGCTTTATTCTAAGCAATGTGCCTTCAGTGACCCAGAACTGACAAGACTCGAGTTCCTGGCCCCCTGCAGGTTTCTCCCCAGTCCATTCCCTAGCAGCCCCCTCCCCAGGGACAGCCTGAGGACACCAA